TAAATTTTAATTAAATGCAAAGAGAAGCCATATTTTAAACAGGACACTCAAAAGCACATTCTCATGTTATGAAGAACATTCACGTGTTGGTTAGAGTATGGACTATAGCTGAACGTACACATTTAATATATTCTAACTTCTAAATAAAAACTTTATGTAGATTCATTATTTCAAAACCACTGGCAAAAAAGTTAACAAAATAACAGTAACAACTATATTTTACATTTGTTGAGTACCCTATTTAGGACAATGTAAGGAAACCAGTGTTGACAGCGACAATGACAACAGCATTTATTAGGGGTGTAAGGTACCTGGGCCTTACCCAGCTGGTTCTTCATGCCCATGAGCACAGAGTTCATGTGTGCTTTGGATGCATAGAGCTTGCTCACAGCCTTCCTTGACCTGATCATCTCCTTGGCCAGGACCACACAGACTTCCTTTTGGCCCTTCTTGGCTGCATCTTTCACAGACCGTTTTACTTTCTCCTCTTCTCTTTGGATATCTAAATTTAGAACAGAATATCAAAAACCATAGGTAAGGGCTGGAGAGATATTCCTGCAGCTATGTACTTGCTGCTCAATCTTGAGACCAGAGTTCAGACCCCAGGGTCCACAGCAGGGGGTCTCACAACGCCTCTCGCTCCAGCTGCAAGGAATCTGATACCCTCTTTTGGCCTCTTTGGCCACCCACATATACGTATGCGCGCACACACACACACACACACACACACACACACACACACACACACACGGAAGAGCAAATTAGGCTTCGAAACACTCAAAACTGTTTTTATTATAGTCTAAATGTATCTATCTGTAAGTAGGAAATTATCAGAGGATACAAACAAAGTAAAAATAATATATGGGTATTTATTATTTCCTGAAACAAGACAATAAACAGAAATATAACCCTACTGTACCTAAAAACTTTCAATACCTTTTGTGAGCCTGCGCTAACACTGCTTTGGCACGCACTGTCTATGCATCCCAGAGCTTATTCTGACAATCAGTATGTAGCTTTCTTCCAAGTATGAGAATACAATCTCTGAACAGCAATTGCTGAAAACCTACAACTTAAGGAGAACCTGAACACACTGAAGCACTGTATCAGCATCAACTAGAGTTTAGACATGTCTGTATTATATGCTTAATAACCATTAAAAACTTTTGCATTTTAAAAACTGGGGCAAAATGTGCAAATACAATTTACCATCTTAACCAGTCTACAATTTTCCATGACAGAGTTCTGAGAGGAGGATCAGGAGATGAAAATAGAAAGATAGAAGACAGAGGAGATAATGAAGTTTGTGATCAGGAGAGCTTTCACAAGCTATGTCTTATGCCAAGCAAGCTTGTTAGGAATTGCAGCATCTTATATACTATTTCTAGGGGAGAAGCAAAATAGCAGAAACTATTATACAGTGGGAATAAGTCAGCAAGAAGCTAATCAAACAGTGTTGCACATACAGAACATGGGTATCTCAAGGCCACTGCAGATGGAGCACACAATGGCCTTGGGAAAGACAACCTTGTGGTGGGAAGAGTTGCTTTCCCAGAATCTGAAACCAAAGCTCCTTCAGGGGCCTTGAGGTTTTCTCCCTCCAGCATGATGCCTGCTGATAGACTAGCTCAACAAATTCAAGGCTGAATCAGGACATGTTATACAGGTGTGGGCTAATCGACCACCCTGTTTCTTCAAACTGACCAACTCTAAACTAGGGGAGGAAATCTCAAGAAACTTCAAAAACTCCAACCTTTAAGAAGAGACTAAATTTTTTAGCTTCCCAAATTCCACCTCAGCTTTGCAGAAGGTCTTTTTCTCTGTGTCTGCTTCTATCTGTAGTGTTTGTAATTTCTCCATTGCTACCTGTCACACTCCAGATTTTTTTTCTGCATTTAAATTCTTTAACTGGCAGAGAAAATGAACTTGATCAAGACCCCTAGATTGTAAGATTGTATCAGTGTTAGCTAAAAAGATCCAACTTCATTTTGGAGGAGGAAGTACCATAAAAACAAATATTTTTGTTTTAGAAAAAGCAAGCAGCTTCTACACCGGGCACCACTCAGTGGCAACATCCTATTCTATAGCACTTGGAAAAGACTTGGAGGACATTCAAGTCATTTTTCAGGGTTTAAGTATGATGATACACATCTGTAATCCCAACATTCAAGAGGCAGAGGTAGAAGGATCATGATTCTAACTCAGCTTGGGCTAATTTACCCTCAAAAGAAAGTTGTTGTAAAAATCCAGGTGTAGTTGTTTTGTATGTTGTGAAAATTAGAAAGAAAGGGTGTATCAAGGACCCCTACATTCTCCATCTTCAGACTGCCCTGAAACCCTGGGGTCAAGAAGCACCATTTTCATTTCTGTTTCCTAAGATTATTAACAAACACAAAGAAACAGGAAATCTTACATCCTAAAATAAGTCTCATACGGCCAGGAGGGAGAGTCATTTCAAGATGGTGTTGAACTTGACTTCTTAGTATTGTATTAAGTATTATTACATATTGTTTATAAGGTTTATCAGATGGCAGGTTTCTTGTAACTATCTTTTGTTGAGAGAATATCTTGTCCATTATATAGATTCATTACCTGTCAATTAAAAAAAAAAAACCTATGGCTAATAGTATAGATAGAATAGAAGGTGGGGCATCTGGCAGACAGAAAAGATGCTGGGATACAGCTAGGCACAGGAGATTAGTTTGACAAGATGTGAAAAGGACAGATACATGGTACCTGAGCACAGGTAACCAGCCACGTGGCAGAATGTAAATTAGAATATATGGGTTGTTTTAAGTTATGAGCTAGTTAGAGAAGGACCTAGCTATATGGCCTAGGTATTTGTACATAATATTTTGAGTCTCATGAGTTTTTGTTCTGGGAGTTTGGGGCTGGGAAGAAAAACCACTACAACAATCTTTGGCTTTGATTTAAAGATATGCTAGCTTACTGAATGAGTCAGAAAGTATAAGGTTACTGTGTAATTCATATGCTGATTTCTGTAACTTCCTACTCCATATTGGTTGCAATCTCTAGTCTGAGAATCTCCTGTCTTAATGTTGTGTAAACAATGCTCCTCAACTATCCCCTGATATGTCAATAAAGCAGCTTACAGCCAATCACTGAACAGGGGAGAGAATACAGCTGGACTTCCTGCCAGCCAGGGGAGGAGGAGTTAGAAAAGGAAGTAGGGGATTCAGCCAAGGGAGAGGTCCGGGTGACATCAGGAGAGGAGCTTCAGCAGGCAGGGAAAGCTACAAAGTGCAAGTATCTCTGAGATACATGCTTAGAGGAAACCAGATTATCTTAAAGGTTTAAGAACAAATAACTGCTCAGTTTTTGTGCTGTGAAGCTTGTTAAAATAACAGTCTCAATTATTTGTGTGATAGCCAAGTTAAGAGAGAAATCAAGAAACACAGTTTTATAAAAATAACTTTAACAAGAAAGTCCTGTGTACATTTTTTGTAAGTTCAAGAACTGGTATTAGCTCTTCCTTGAATGTTCAGTAGAATTCATCAGTGAAGCCATTAGGTCCAAAGATTATTTTCTGGTTGAAATATTCTTTGATCATTGACTTAAAGATCAAGGTTGACTGAGACTTGATTTAGGGGCAAACACTGAGTCTATCTGGAAAACGTTCCATGCATACCTGAGGAAAATGCACATTCTGCTGTTGTTGGCAATTTTGTATATGTATAAATAAATATAGCTAGTTTCCTCCATTGTTCTAATACATTTCTTTACTTAAATGTTTGGAATAATGAAGTCTCCAATTATTATTAACATCCTATTAATTCCTTCAACACTTTTCCATTTTATACGTTAAGGGTACATAGATAGGAAATGTATATGATCAGGCAGATGTTCTATTAGAACTTTTATTAATATAATATGCTCTTTGTCTCAGGAAGTTTTTAATGTTTTAAAGTTTGATTTAGCTGACATTTGTACAGTTATATCTATTCTCTTGGTTAATACTGTAGCACAGTACTTTTTTCTATCCTTTCACTCTCAATCTATTTGTGTCTTTGGATTTAAAGTGAGTTTCCTGTAGACAACATAAAGGGTTGGTTTTTTTTTTTCTTTCTGTTTTTGTTTTTGTTTGTTTCTTGAGACAGGGTTTCTCTGTATAGCCTTCGCTGTCTTGGACTTGTTTTGTAGACCAGGCTGGCCTCGAACTCAGAGATCCACTGCCTCTACCTCCCTTAGTACTGGGATTACAGGCGTGTGTCACTGCACTCGGCTGATAACATACAGTTAAATCATGATCTCTAATGCATTCTGACAATCTCTTTTGATTAAGAAGTTTAGCCCACTTATATTATAAAAAAATTAAATCCAGGCATTGTGATTCATGCCTTTAATACTAACCCTCTAGAGGTGAAGCACAAGTCAGATGAGCAAACATATAGAAAGCTGGGCCTCTACTCTGCCTGGGCTATGCATACACACATCCCTCTCCTAACAAAGTACCTAGCAACCCAGGATCCTCATCTGCATCAGGCTGCATAAAACTGGCTCCAAACAAGGAAATAAGTCTCACCTCCTTAGCAACCTTTAATAGTTCCCCTTCTGTGAACAGCTTCCTTTCAAATATGTTCCAGGACATAGCTGGCAAAAAGGCAGGATCCTGAACTAGTTTTGGGTGCAAGGATAATAAGACAAACTGTCTTCTGAGTGAACTTTTAGGGAAAAAAAAAATCTCATGCCTGTGTATGTTGGGCATATAATTAAGATCAGCTGCATCACCACAGGCCGTATGCGATACCAATGAACTATCTGTGCTAATAGCATTCATTTTATTTCTGCATCTAATATGTCATAATGCATTATTATAAACAATTTTTAAAGAAATAATGAAAGGAAGAAAATATTCTTTACTTGCATATCTAAAACGCTTCATTCTTTGTGTGTATCTAGGTTTGTATTTGGCATGATTTACCTTTGGCCCACAATTTCTCTATTTTCTTATATTTACATATATGTGTGTTTACCAACAGAGTTCATGTGCAGAGTTCATGGAGGAGAGAACAGGCCATCAGATCCTTGGAGTTAGAGAATCAACCCCAGGTGCTCTGCAAGAGCAGTAAGTGCTTTTAGTCTCTAAGCCATTTCTCCAGCCCCAACCTAGTTTCTTTAATATTTTGTATTCTGGCAAGAGGCTCACCTTTTGCTTAAAAAAATATTTAACTTCACTTTTACCTGTGAATGCTATTTTCATTTTTTAGATTTTTCTTTCTTTCTATTTTTTATTCTTATTTATTTATTTATTTACTTGTTTGTTTGTTTGTTTATGGTTTTTCAGGGCAGGGGTTTCTTTGTGCAACCCTGGGTAACTCACTCTGTAGACCAGGCTGGCCTTGAACTCAGAGATCCACTTGCCTCTGCCTTGTAATCCCATTACAAGTTCTGGGATTAAAGGCATGCATAACCACCACCTGACTTAGATATAGAAATTTAGGATAAAACTTTTTCTTCTACCATATTAAAGATGTTCTTTCTGGTTTATGACATTTCTGATAATAAGTTTTTGCCATTCTTATTGTTTTCTGTATTTCCTTACTTAGAGGAGTTGCAGTCTGAACTCAGGGCCTCACACACTTCAGGCAGATGCTCTACTACTGTTTCCTATATTTTAATGTGTCTCTTTTTAGGCTGTCTGTCCATGCTTCAGTAAACTAAACATGCTTTGATCATGTTTTTCTCTAATTGATTCGGCTTTGGGTTTTTTTGTTTTGTTTTGTTTTGGCTATACAGGTTTACTGAAAATAGTGAGCTACAATTTCATCTGATCTCTTGACTCTTCTGATGCTCAAATTATATGTATCAGACAACTTACCATAACTCCACCGATCACAGCAGCTCTGTTGGCTTGGTTTGTTGTCTTCTCTCTCTCTCTCTCTCTCTCTCTCTCTCTCTCTCTCTCCCCCTCCCTCCCTCTCTCACGCTGCTTTGTAAGCTAGTTAAAAATTAATTTTTACAGAGTTTAAATTAAGATAGCCTGCATGGATGGGCAATACTTCCCCCAGAAGATATGGGGTTATTAAGTAAAAATCTCAGTGCCAGATTTGCTTGTGGTATCAGGGAGACCCCAGAAGTATTATAAATAACACAGGCTATTGCCATTACTTTTTGGCTGTCCACCAGAACTAGATGATAAAACCTTACTGCTGAAGCAGGACATATTTTGGCCAAAAGACATAGAGGAATCAAGCTAGAACTGACCTGGTAACTTCCTCCCTAACTTGCTAGCTTCACAGTGCTGGAAAGTACTATGCAGGCCCCTGTGGGTTGGGAAGGAAGCCATCACTATTATTATTCAGCAGCAAAACCTGCATACTACAATACTGACCTGCCAAGCAAGATATTTTCACTAGTTTAATAATGGCACAAAGGATACTGGGGTAATTAATAGCTTTGGGGTTGGATTTGACATCTCATCCATAGGGAAAAATTAATACTTGGTACTTTAAACCTTGGCAAAAGACTAGGGCTTGGGATGTCTAGGCCCTATAGAATAAGCTACTTCTGATGGCTTGCTAAATAATCATGTTGATAGATTTGTGCTGCCCTCTACCTTGGCCTCATAACGTGGGACTCAAAACTGGTCAAAATGCTGAGAATAAATGACTATTAAGGGCTGGAGAGATGACTCAGTGGTTAAGAGCACTGACTGCTCTTCCAGAGGTCCTGAGTTCAATTCCCAGCAACTACATGGTGGCTCACAACCATCTGTAATGGAACCTGATTCCCTCTTCTGGTGTGCGTGAAAACAGAGCATTCATATACATAAAATAAATAAATCTTAAAAAAAAAAATGACTATTAAGTGTTCGGCCCTAAATGGGACAGCTATATTAACATGTCATCCAAAGCTCAGGGAACACAGCAGAAGAACAGGTGAAAAGAACATAAGCATGTAGAGGAGTACCATGAAATAATACTCTTCTGGACATGACAAAGATACTGCACACATGAACTCACTACAGCTATGGATGCCTACACAGACTTGCACAAGATCAGGCCAATAAAACCAGTCAACATTCCAAAAAACAGTACTAATTGGACTACATGAATTACAGGGGGAGGGGGCTGTGGATGCACATAGGAAGTGGGGGATTGCCTGAGGGCAATGGGAGGGGAACCTGAGGTTGAGTATAATCAAGACACATTGCTTATACGTATACAACTGTTAAAAAGAAAATAAAATAAATCTTAGTTTCAGCATTATCATTTTTGGTCACTCACCTTATTTTCAAATAGAACTAAAAAAAAAAAAAAACAACTTTTATTTAGAAATATATTGTTCCCAATTTAAAGTTATGCTAAAATATGCAGAGGGTAGAGATAATGGGATTGCATTGTTTTCTTATGCATAACTTATTTAAACTCCATAAAAGACTTTTGTTTGCAGGACTATATTGCTCTTACAATATAGTCTGTTTCAATCATTATCCTTTTTATTCTGAGTATAGAATCAGAAAACAAAGTAATAAGAACATCTACATATAATTAGAATTAACTGTCTTATAACGTATAGTTAAGTTTGCTTTTGTGCACTGAATTGCAATATAGAATTAGAGTATAGAATAGAAAACATAAAATAGCAATTTACCTCGTATTTGCCTGTCAACAACTCTCATTTCCTTTCTGATCTTCAATGACCATTCATTGACCTAGGGAAAATTTTAAATAGGAAATTATCAGAAAAGCAAACACTCCTAGTCAATTTTGCACATTCTTAAGAATTCTATATTAATACACATTGAGTTTAGACACAATTCTTTGTTTTGTTTTGTTTTAATTTTGAAGAAAGACTTTATGGTTTTTGTTGTTGGGTTTTGTTTTTTGGTTTTGGGGTTTTTGTTTTGTTTTGTTTTGTTTTTTTGGCTTTTGAAAATAGGGTTTCTCTGTGCAGCCCTGGCTGTCCTAGAACTTACTCTGTAGACCAGGCTGGCCTCAAACTCGTAGAGATTCACCTGCCTCTGCCTCCCGAGCGCTGGAATCAAAGGTGTGTGACCACTGCCAGGCCTAGGGCCATGATTTATTTTTGTATCTTTGGGTACACTACATGGGCAAGGACAGTCTTGGAGCATCAGAAGATTTGCATCTTTTACACAGAATTTTACACAGAATTACTTTTAAAACTACTCTGCATGTGTCCTGAGAACTCATCTTTTATATATTATTTTTCTTCCTGTCAGGTTAAAGCCTGAGGCACTGAATGTAGCCAACTGGAGATACTGGTGTAGCTAACTCTAGCACATTCTCATGCCAGTGAATTGTTTCTCCGCCCCTCTCCTTTTTTTTTTCCCAAAAACATTGAAGGAAAATTTGAGGTGACAGCTGATGGGTCATTAAAAGCAAACTTTTTTTAAATTACTGTGTGCTTTTTGGCACATGACTCAGAAGAACTTAGTGACATTGCTACTTCAATGCCCTTCCATTTACCAACTACTTCCTGTTAGGTTTTTCAGTACTTACATCTAATCAAAAAAATCTATATTAATTCTACAGGAATTCTTCATCCACAGGTACATATATCTGCATTTTGAAATTCCTATCATAGCCAGTTGTAGTGGTGCACATCAGTAATCCCAGCACTCAAGGGAGGCAGAGGAAGGTGGATCTCTGTGAGTTCGAACCAGCCTGGTCCACAAATAGAGTCCAGGACAGTCCAAACTACACAGAGAAACTCTGTCTTAAAAAACAACAAAATTCCTATTCTTAGAATATGTATTTCCATAACATTTCAAGTTTAATATCTAATAACATGGCATCTATTTACACACACACAAATAAAAAGCATAAATAAAACGATAAGGGAATACAATTTTTAAATTAATAATCAGGTTAGATTTACATACATTTTAAGTGAAATTCATATAATATGCAACTAATCATGTTAAAATATATAATTGATGGTGAAATTTAGTGCGACTTGCTGTCAATCCTTAAAACCTTTTCATCACCTCGAAACACAGTACACACCTTAAATAATCCCTTATCTCTCCATCTACAGACTCCTTGGCAACCAATAATTTGCTTTCTGTCTTTACAGAACTGGCTATTCTGAATATTTCATATGAAAGTATTCATACAACATGTCTCACTTTCATTCCATTATATGTATATACCACAAACTTGTTTCTCTCTTTATCTGCTGATGGCCATCTGAGTTTGCTGTTACCTTTTGGCTACTGCTAATATTTATATATAAATAAAAAAATACCAATTAAAGCCACATGACTTTAATCTCAGCATTTGGGAGGCAGAGATGGGCACGTCTCTATGCGTTCAAGGCCAGCCTGGTCTACAAAGGGAGTTCCAGGACAGTCAAGGATACACAGAGAAAACCCTGTCTTAAAAAACGAAAACAATTTAACTGTACTAAGACAGCTCAAATGACACTTAGCATTTTACATGTTTCCAGATGATTTTAAAATTCTTTCAGAAACACAGCCTGAGTCCAGGAGCCCAGTAAATGTATCAAATAAGTTTCATAATTGTAGGGATACAGAAAACAAAATTCAAAACAGATAAAAAGGAATTTCAAAAAATATTAAATACTTAGTTGCAACAGTATTTTATATACAAATCAGAGGTAGTTAAATAAGTGAGAGTTTAAGAAATGCAGTAATAAATTCTTTTTTTAATTCTTTATTAATTACACTTTATTCACTTTGTATCCTCAGTAATAAATTCTTAAAATCAATTAGTAAGTTAGACTATGCTGTGAAAATGATAATGGTCCTACAGAAAGTTTCAGACCATCAAGAAAAGTGCTTTATTCAAATTCATTCACTGAGTCTATTATATGTCAGACCAAACTAGGTGAAAGAACTGCAACCAGCAAGAAGGCATCACCTATAGCCAGTGCTGAGACAAATGATACACAGAAACCAATTATCCAAATTCCTGTTCCACCAATCCCTGAAGCTAATTCCTGGTAGATCAAAAACACAAATATAAAACGAAAACCTGTTATACCAGTGAAATGGAAGGCTAGTGATGCAGCTCAATGGTAGAAGGCTTGCCCACCCACCATGAAGCCCTCTCTTCAAGCTCCAGATCTAAAGGAGGAGAA